TAATAATGATAATGATAATAATGATAATAATAATGATAATGCTAATGATAATAATAATAATGATAATAATAATAATAATGATAATGATAATGATAATGATAATGATAATGATAATAATAATAATGATAATAATGATAATAATAATAATGATAATAATAAAAACAGAAATAAAAATAAAATACTCAACAAGCTAAACAAAGAATTCTCAAAGAACACCGATCCCCGGCAATGGCGTCAGAAATACTTGTTGAATTATTGGCAAGCGTACCAAAATTATCAATTGCAGTATAATATTTCGATTAAATAAAAGTCGATCCCACGAGGAACGATTTCAATGGAAATTCCCAATTATGCATACTATGTAGATTAAAATAGATTGAGTTTTGCAAATAAGAGTTGAATTGAAATTAAACGACAAAGAAATGTAAATTGTTGAGAAAATATCAATTAAAGGTACTTAGGATTGGCTTCCTTCCTTATCCCTCTTTTGTAATGACTAAATCAAGAAAGAACGTCAATTAATCTAACAATGTTGATGCCACCTACTCCAATCATCCATGTTGATTCCTCACACATGAAATTCATAAGAAAACCTAATAAATGTTGATTCCTCACACAATTAACAGATTTTCCAGCATTAGGGTTAGGGTGTTAAGCAATTGATACATTCATTCCATTCCTAGCAATTAACGTAACAAATATTCTTACCGTGATCTAGGGTTCAAGATATATTTTCCAATTATACCTCAAACAATCAAGAATGAATCATTCCAAAGCATAAAGGATAAGAATAACAATATCAAAGCATAGATTAAGATCTCAAAATATCACCATGATACAAAAGAGTTCAAAGGAAGTGCACTGAATCCTAAGAGAATGAAGTTAGCCACTCATGTTGGCCATTACAATGCTCCAATTGATGAAGAAGTGAAGAATTGATGAAGATTGGACAAAACCCTAACAGTAGTCGTGTCTCCTCCCCTCCAAGACTGCTTGCCTTTCTCAAAACACAACTTATCTTTTTATAAGAGAATTTGGGTCGGGCCTCGCATTATTCATTCGCTTAAGCGTTCTTCTTTCTTTCAATTTTACTCCAATTATGCTGACAATTATGCTCCTTACTCTTGTATCAAGGTATTCTCGAATTCATCCTATATTGGGAGAAAAATATATTAGAATTAACATAAGTTAAGTGGTTTCATAACAATTTAAGGCATAATTATATCAACTTTTTATCACTTAACAATAACTGCTTTTGTTAACCACGTTGAAACTCAATTTGAACTATTATTAAAATTATTTGCACTCATAATGGACCTGAGTTTTTTTTATGCGTGAACTTTATTTCAATAAAGGCATCATTCATCAAACTACTTGTGTGAATACTCCTGAACAAAATGGTACTATTGAGCACAAACACCAACATATACTTAATATCACACGTGCCTTACTATTTCAAGCACATCTTCCTATTATTTTCTGGTGTTATGTTGCTCAACATGTGGTATTTTTAATCAATAACACGCTTACTATTTTATTGAATAACAACACTCCTTATGAACGATTTTATGGAAAATTATGTGATCTTTCATTTTAAAAAGTTTTTGGCTGCCTGTGTTACTCTAGTACTCTTACTTCTGGGGTGTTTCTTGGCTTCAAACTCACACTAAAGGTTATCTCTTTCTCAACCTTAACAATCACAGAATTAATATATCTCGTAATATTTTATTTCATGAACAATGATTTCCTTATTACACTAATTCCGCACTTCCACCAATTTTGACTCTCTTCCTCTCCCCCTTCCTCATCATTATAACCACGATTATGACAACTTCACTCTACCTGTTACACACACTACCACTGATATTGTTGTTGCTGATAACACTGTTGAAAATATTATTGTTTCTTACTCTGATAATCTTTCTCATGCCACTGATATTGCTAATGACATAAACGGTAATACTCTTATGTTGCCTCCTAGACGCTCCATTAGAACTAGGAAAACTCCCACATACCTTCAGTACTTTCAAATGCACAACACTAGTAGATATCACATTACGAATTATTTAAGTTATGATAACCTCTCTGCTTCTTTTAAACATGCCATCATGTCCATCACTTCTGATGTTGAGCCAAAGAATTACACAGAAGCCTGTAAAAATCCACAATGGATGAAAACTATGGCTGCAAAATTGGAAGCTTTACTGGTAAATAATACTTGGACCATCACTGATTTACCACTTGGGAAAACTACCATTGGTTGTCGATGGGTGTATAAAGCTAAACATAACTCAGATGGCTCTATAGATCGATTCAAAGCAAGACTTGTAGCAAAAGGCTACACACAAATAAGGGTCTAGACTTTCTTGACACTTTTGCTCCAGTCGTTGAACTTACGACCTTGCGGCTTTTACTTGCATTGGCATCTTCTAATAATTAGATTATCAAGCCACTAGATGTCAACAATGTCTTTCTTCATGGAGATCTACATGAGGAGGTATACATGAAACTTCCACATGGTTTTTCTAGTCCACAACCTAATCAAGTGTGCAAGCTTCAACGTTCTTTATATGGCCTTAAACAGGTTGGGGGGATCAATGGTATGCAAAATTATCTAGTTTCTTAATCTCTCACAATTATAAATGTTCACCTGTTGACCATTTGTCATTTTTGAAACATGGTGATGGTTGCACCACTACTCTACTCATTTATGTGGATGACATTGTTCTGGTAGGAAACAATGGAGAAATTCAAAACATTACTACTTTCCTTCATCACGATTTTTGCGTCAAAAATCTTGGAGACCTCACCTACTTTCTTGGGGTTTGAAGTTGCACGCAATTCAAGTGGAATACATCTCAACCAACACAAATATACTCTTGACATGCTCCATGAAACTGGTATGTTAGATAACTCTCCCACTCCTACACCCATGGTCCACACCTCTCGCCTACAGACTACTGGACAAAGTCTTGATGACAATGTTGCATCCTCATACAGAAGACTCATAGGCCGCCTGCTTTATCTCACTAACACACATCTAAATATATCCTATGTTGTCAACAACTTAAGTCAGTTTGTTGCTAATCCATCTGCTCAACATCAACAAGCTGCCCATAAAATTCTTAGATACCTTAAAGGCACTCTAGGTAATGGAATTTTCTTCCCCAGTAGTTCACCTTTGCAACTGAAAGCTTATAGTGATGTTGACTAGGCTACCTGCCTAGAAACTAGAAAGTTTGTTACTGGCACTCAAAAAAACAATAAACCATCTCACAGAGTTGTTCTGAAGTTGAGTATTGCACCCTTACCTCAACTACTTGTGAGATTCAATGGTTGACATATATTCTTCAAGATCTTCAAGTACCTCTCATCCAGCCAACCCTTTTATATTGTGATAGTCAGTTCGTTATCCAAATAGCCTCCAATCTTGTCTGTCATGAATGTATAAAACATATCAGATTGATCAAGCAGCTAATATTCTCACCAAACATTTGCCTCCACAACATGTTAAACAACTTTATTTCAAGCTAGGAATGAAAAATATTTATTCCCAGTTCGAGGGGCTGATAACATTATTGTTTGTTCTCTTGCCACATGCTCACCACGTATTTGCTTTTAGTTCTTTTATTTTTAGTTCCTCTTGTCTTCTAACCCTGCTATGATATGTTGATATATACTTTTTCTATTATCCAGGATTTCACAAAAATATATAGAAAATTTTTTTCCCACTCTTCTTTCTCTCTTTATTGCTTTCCCCTTTCTCTTATTCTCTCTTGTTTATTTCTTCTGTTTCTATTCTCTTTATCGCGCAATGGTGATCTCTATGCTCTCATGACCATAAGTGGAAATGCTAATAATACATGTTGTGGTTACTAAATAAAAACAAATCTACATATTTAAATAAGTGTCAAAATTTACATTGGGTATGGTCATAATCGATCTAAATTTACGTCGAACCTTACACATCTAACGTAAATTTACATAAATTTTTATTTTTTTTAATTTATCAAATCCTTTTACATTTTATCCATTATATGTCTAATGTAAATTTATATTAGTGTTCGTATACTTCGACATAAATTTACGTTAATTACAAAAATCAACATAAATTTATGTCTCTTAATTAATTCTTATTCTTAAATAAAAAATAAAAATTAACAAACGTAAAATGTGGTATGTGAAGTGTACTCTCCTACAATTTTAAACTATTCATTATTATCATCGTATATGTGCTTATATTTATTCAACAATTTCTTTTAATAATATAATAATAATTTTTAAATATTTTTATTTTCATAATTACATGAAAAAAATGGGTTGTTGATCAAATGAATATTCTTGTTTGTGATATATCTCCTATGATGAAATAAAGAGTATATATATATATATATAATTATTTTGGGAGATTACATTAATCACTGGACGATAATTCTTTATTTATTTATTCACTTGAAATTATGTTACGTTGTTTATTTTTTTATTTTTTTTATAATATAAAACATTAACTTTTAGAGAAAAGATAGATAATAGACTATTTTTTTTAAATTGTTCGATCAATTTTGGAAAGTGATATATTTCAAATTTATGAACAAATATAAAATAATATTAAAAACACAATTAAACATTTTTGTTTTTTCGTTTACCAAAATAACCTCCCCTTATTTGTGCAGGGCTATTGTAAAGGTCTAAATATGTTTTTTTTTTTTTCTTTGCTTATCTTATCCTAAGATGGTAGCGACTTCCTTCACCAAATCTCATGTATCCTACAAATTCTCTTACACCATCAATATCCTCTTTAAATAACCCTCCCATACAAACTCAATCCTCATTCTCACTTGCAGCAGTGTCTGCATTCATAGAGAAACACACTACTGTTACTAGAATTTTTTTAATGCAAGAACAAAACAAACTTCGTCCTCAACATGATTTCTATCACCAATACCATCTGCAACACCAACATCATCTCCATCACCATCTACTGCCCCCATCAACTCAATCTACTCTGTCCTCTTCTCTTTCATTGAGAGTAATGAAGTCTCAGTCCCACCACCATCAGCCAGCAACCCGTCTGAGGTTCCGTCAAATCTTGTGACAGTCGCTGCTGCTAGCTTCTTTACCTTGTAAACATGGTGTTTTATTTTAAGACCATGTTTAGTTTGAGTGGAATAGTGGAGATGGTTGGTTCCAAAAATATATAAAAAAAAAAGTCATTTATTTATACAGTGACATTGTATGAGTCATTTCTTGTATATAAAATTTAAAAAATTTCAATTTGACTACTGTTTTCGGTCATGCACCATTAAACGTTTTAGTTTTGGTGTGATTAAACTGAATCGAGTTTTAAAATATTATATTCGCAACAATTTCCTTTTTTATATCATAACTGAATAATGATGATTAAGCTACAAAGCCTTTATGTTCATAAGAGCCTGAAATTAACTTCTAAGAGGGAGTTTATCAAACCATTAATAACATTATATAATATAAGATTACTTCTAAGAGGGAGATTTAACCATGAAAGTAATCAACAGTTTATTTTATTGATATCATAATTGAATAATATGATTAAGTTCTTTGTCATGTGTCTTATTACGACAAAATTATTTATGAAACAGCCAGTGAAAGTCTTTAAAAACTGACCTTACAAAATTATTAGTGAAGTATCCGTTGCCATTGTTTTCACGGTCGCTGTTGTTAACTTATTTGTCTTATAAACTATTTGTGTAGTAGTGGAGATGATTGGTTTCCAAAAATATAAAATAAAAAAAAATCATTTATTTATACATTAGATGTGGCATGTATAAACCATTTTGTAGATATAAATTTTAAAAATGTTCAATTTGAGTTTTGGTACCTGAAATCGAGTTCTTAACTTCCTCGGACTTATTTTATTATATTCATAACATTTTCTTTTATTAGAGAAGATATCGTGGTAATGATTAAACTAAACAACATGGTTACATCAGTGCCCAATTTCTTATACATTTGTTCAATAATTTCCTTTAATAATAAAAATATTTTTATTTTCATAAACTGTTTACATGATTAGTACATGAATAAGATGGGTGGTTGAACGAATGAAAGGTTTTGTTCATGATATATCTACTCTCATGGAACAAGTATATATATATCATACTACATCTACGTAAATCTAAAAGGAAAATCAGAGCGATTCTTTTGTTTATTTAGTTTTTCTTGTTTTAGTCATGTTTGAAAAGATGGATGAGTATTAAAATGATGTTGCATTTTTTTCTTTTTTTTTCTTTTTTTTTAAATGATATCATTTTTCATTAAATATTTATATATAATATAAAATATTAATGTTTAAAAAAATGATAAATAATAAAAAGCTTTATAAATTAATTTATTTTATGAGATAAGTTTCTTCTGATCTTTAATCTAATTTTTTAAATTTTACCATATATTAATTACGTAAAATGATTTAAATTAATTCATGTATAATAAAATATAAAAAAAAATCAAACAATAAATTTTTTGAAATTATGATAAAAATGTTAAAACGTAGAATTAAATATAGGTTCTCTTATTTCTTTTTTTTTCTATTAAAATAAAATAACTAATGACTTATTTAAATCAATAAAGTACTAAATTTTATTTTTTAACCATTTCAATAAAATTAAGTTCTTTATTTAACGTAAAAAAAAAAAAAACGAGCCTTCTCTCCGGTAGACTCGCACAAAATGTACAAGATTGATTTCAAAATGAGAACCTTTCTTTTTAATTCTATTCCCGAAATCAAATCACCTTCACATTTATTCCTAAAAATTCTCTTCCACCATCAAACTCTCTTTAAATAACCCTCCCATGTAACTCAATTCTCATTCTCACTAGCATCAGTTTTTCTCTGAGAGAAACAACTGTTACTGGGTTTTTTAGTGCAAGAACAAATAAAATAAAATAAAAAAACACAATAACAAAATAAAAAATGACAAGTCAACGTGTTCTTGCACTTGTTTTTGTTTCACTAGGTAGCATTGTGATGGCTCAGGAGGCGCCTTCTTACTCCCCACATTCATCTCCATTTTCACCTTCTCTAACCCCATTACCATCACCAACATCATCACCGAATTCGTCTCCATCACCAATTTCATCTGCAACACCAACATCATCTCCATCGCCAGCATCATGTGCAACCCCAACCTCGTCTCCATCACCAGCATATTCTGCAGCACCAGCTTCATCTGCAACACCTGCATCATCTGCAGCACCAGCATCATCTACAACGCCAGCATCATCTCCTGCCCCATCTGAGTCTCCTCTGTCCTCCCCTCCTTCACCGTCCACATCAAATGAGAGTGAGGAAGTCTCAGCCCCACCAGCCCCAGCCAGCAACCCGCTTGAGCTGGATGCTTCCGAACCCGTACCCTTCGACGCCTTCTCTCCATATTCCGCCGACCCGGCTGACATTGCAAATGGTGCTCCCGCTCGTCAAATATTGCCAGTTGTTGCGACTGTAGCTGCTGCTGGATTCTTTGTCTTCTAAACTATTCTTGTAGCTGGTGTTTTATTCTGAGTTGTGGGTATGTAACAACAACATGAGTTGGCCATGGTTCTATACACTCATGTATGAGTGGAATAGTGCAGATGGGTAGTTCCCACCAACATAAAAAAATTATTTATTTATACATTGAATGGGAGATGTACGAGCCATTTTTAGATATAAATTTTAAAATTTTCAATTTGAGTTGTGTTCTTCTTCTCACTAGATAATGCACTACTAAAAGTTATAGTTTTTTTTAATGAAGCGTTACATAGAGTTTTTAACTTCCACGTTGGTGCTGTGTTATATTCATAAATCTCTCTTCTTTTGACATCATAACACTGAATAATGATTAAGCTAAAAAGCATGCAAGCTTTAGTAAAACAGCTTTACATCATCACTATCCAATTTCTTAAATTATGTAAGTGTGAAATATTATCAAACAGGTTTTTGTCATATAATATGTCTTGCTAATTTGTGGATTGATTTCAAAGTTTAGTTACAAACAATAACAACCTAATTGTTTAAAAAATTATTAATTATTTTTTTATAATAATTAATATATTAAAATAGCTAACATATTCGGAAGTATGAGATTCTTACCAAGTCCTGGTTAACACTAGCATTTGTTTTATTTATTTGGTATAAGCTTGTTTAGCTAAAATGAGGAGGGTTCAAAACATAAAATAATAATAATAATTAAAAAATAAATAAAAAGTTAGTATTTTATTAAATTTTTTGGATTAACTATTTTTTAAATGATTTTGTTTCAATTTTGAATTAAAAAATAAGAACGGAATAAATCTGAATTAAATCCCTTATTATATTTAAATATAATATATTTAAATTTAATTATCAATTAATATATATATATATATATATATATATATATTCTTAATGTTATTTTATAATTTGATCGTATTTTTTATAATATATTTATATTTATTAAGATATGATAATAATTTTGTATTATAATTTTTAATTATAAAACTACATAATTTATTTTGATTTAGATTTTGTATTAAATTAAAAATAAACTAAATTGAACCTTTTATCTGTATATTTAGTTTGGATAATTATTCAAAAGAAAACCAAACTCAAAAACCGTAAACTAAAACTATACAGTTGATTTTCGTCAAATTTTATTTTATAATTTTTTTATTTTTAATCAAGATATATACGTAAAATGGATATTCATCCACATTTATCATTCGTGCTATTTTGTTTTGTAACAAATTGCATATTCTATATTAATTTCAATGCATTATTAATATAATAAATTATTAGATTTCTAATAATACATCTTCTCTGTCTGTCTCACGCATATATAAGAAAGACACTTCAACAATAACACAGACATCTAATATATCCTCAATATACAAAACAATACATAATCAATGGATGAACTCACGACAAGATGCAAAATCTGATTCGTTCTTGGAGACTGCAATTACCACCAAAAGGGACAACAAGTGATTTGGAGGATTATGCAGAATAAATTGCCAACTAAGGATAACTTTCAACGAAGGAAAAATGTCACACATCACTGATCTTTATCACACATTTTGTTTAGTTGTAGGAAGATTACTGATCTTTTGCACATGTGATGGATGTTGTTATTCCCATGCCACTTTTGTCTTTTAAGATAAATGTTCCGTAGAAAAATTGTACGAAATTATAATAATAAATGAACTTAGACACGTCAATATGAATTACCATTCTTTAGATCTAGAGCTATGAGGAGTGTTAAAGAAAAAAAATCACTTTTATAAAAATATTTCAATGTTTAAGTCAGTATAAAATAGATAATAAAAACTAAAAAAAAATCTAAATAAAATGATATATAATCATAATTATAAGCTCATATCTTATTTAATAAATTATATATTTTTTTAATATTTTAATAATGTGAGATTCTCTAGTTTATAATTAAGTAATTATGATTATTTATTTTGTATATTATTATTATTATATTAATATTCATTTAAGATGATTAACTAAGAAAATATTTTTGTTTAATATCATATAATTAATACGAAAATTTATTTAAATTTTGAATTCAAAATTTAACTTCAATTGGACTAAGTTTCATAAGTAAAAATATAAGACTTCTTCAAATTTATTAAGATTTATGTTATATTTTTTGGTTTATATAAGTCAGTTGTCAAGTAGACGTGACTAGGCCAATACAACAATCTTAAGTTTTTCTGAATATTTTTATTAACTAAGTTATACTAATACTTTATAAAGAAACATTAAACATTAAAACTGAGATAAACTTAATTTAGAGTTATGACCGTTACCAAGGTGAAAAATTGTTGACCGGAAATGTCCAACGGAAGAAAGTTTAGGAATAAGATTAGAGGTTAAGGAAAAAAAAAAAAAAAATCTTCCAAACCAAGCTGCTTAAAATAGAAAAGTAACTTGTTGAAATATATAACATACTTACATTATAAGATCCGATTATAAGATCTGAGATAAATGTATAAATTTTTTATAATAACATAAAATTAATAATTAATCTAATTTATAACGATTTATTCGATTTAATGATATGATGTAATAATATACATGTTCATGTATTAAATATAATGGCTTTATTATTATTTAAAGATATTTGTTTTTCTAATACTACGTTGAGGCGAAGATTTATTAACTATATACTATAATCTTCACAACACATTTGATAAGCTAGATTTTTTTTAAGATATAGTTTCACGAAGACAATGATCCAGATCTCGGTTATTATCCTTCAATAAATCTCGAGACTTTAAAAATAAATTATAGTTTGATTGATAGTGTTATGTGCTTGATCACCATCTTTGACGACGAAGTGCGTAAGCTCACTGCCTTTGATGACTTTGATACCTTCTATCTTTCAAATTAACTATGATAAGTTATCTGCTAGTTTGCCATTTCACACCGGCTCCTCTGATGGACCCAACAGAATGGGATTACGAGTGTGGACAAGGTACTGAGCACGACAGAATAACATTTTCCAAACAAAAACATTTGGGAGTTATGAATATTGAGTGTGTTCATATACGTGTGATTGAGGGACCCCATCATAATGGGTCTGATTCTTTTGAAAAGTGAAAGCCTTCCATGTGGGATACTTTGACCCCACTGCTAACCCTTTGGCCACGATTGACGGCAGAAAGCCTCCAATCACTTCAGTATGTCAGAAGTATGCTTAGGGTCAAATCATTAAATAACTAACCCAGTAATAATGATTCCTTCCAAGCCAATGTCTTCTCATTGAGTTGCAGAAGAGTTTAACCTTACTTTACCCAATTAAACTAATTAAAATTTGTTAAGATGACTATAAAGCTAAAAAAAAACAAGTTAAAATCTCATATATAGACTCTTTTAAATGTGGTCCTTCTTGTAATGTACATGTCATGAACTTCTTAGAATATTATATGGTTTTATTGTGAAGGAAGAAGTCCCACATCCGTGGGAACTTCAATTGGGGGCTCTCCTTCTTCTTATAAAAGGAGCCCCTCCCCCCTTATTTCATACATCCCAAATATTTCTCCTTCTTTCTCTTTTACTTTCCTAGTATTGGTAATTTCCAATTGTAAAAGGAAAGAGTGGTCATTATAAAATTTTCATTTTTGCCTATTGTCAGGGTTATTTTTTCTCGTCTCTATTTTAGTTGTGTGTATTTATGCTGGTACTCTGATCCTAACAGTGGTATCAGAGCTGCGTTCGAGTTCCGTAGCGCGTCACTAGAATAGTGTTGGTAAAATTCTGAGTATGCTCTGTGGTTGCAGTTTAATCTGATCTTCCACATCAGAAAGGAGTTGTTACTGGAAAAGGTGTGGTAGTGTGAAAGTACTATTGAGGAAAGTTCTGGCTAGGAAAGACTTGGTACTTAAGCGTGTCCATTAGTGACCCACCTCTCTTTCCTGGAACCTACTTGGTGTACTCGGTTCACGGTTTACTACTATTGTTCCGGTAGACAATACTATTTATAAGTGATAGTTGCATAAGTCCGTATACAACCATGGCAACGAAAGTACGAGATAGAGAAGTTCAACGGGAACAATTTCCGTTGTGGAAATTGAAGATGAAGGCAATCTTGAGAAAGGACAATTGCGCAGAAGCGATTGAGGGAAAACCTGCGAAATGACGGATAAAGATTGGAAGAAAATTGACGGCAACGCTATTGCAAATTTACACTTGGCAATGGCAGGACTCAGCTCTATCCAAGTGTTGCGGAGAAAGATTCTCGCAAAGGAGATTTGGGATGCCCTCATTAAATTATATGAGGTGAAGTCACTTCACACAAGGATATTCTGAAGAGGAAACTCTATACTCTTCGGATGAGTGAGTCCACATCGGTGACTGGATCACATCAACCAACTGAACACCTTGTTTGCCCAATTAGCAGCGACGAAATTTCAACATAGTTGAGAATGAGCGTGCGGAGCTCTTACTTCGAGCTTGCCGGACTCGTATGATCAACTCATCATCAACATTACAAATAATAATATTGAAGGACAACTACACTTTGACGATGTTGCCGGAGCTATTCTAGAAGAAGAATCCAGGCGAATGAATAAGGTAGAAAGTTCTAAACAAGCAGAAGTTTTGACGATGATGAGAGGAAGATCGACGGAACGTGGCTCAAGTGGGAGTCAAGATCATGGCGAGATCTAGCTCTCGAAACAAGAAGACTTTCAAATTTAAATGCTACTACTGTGGCAAGAAAGGGCACACGAAGAAAGAGTGTTGGAAGAGGAAGAATGAAGAATCAACCTCACAAGGTTGCATTGCGAGTACTTCAGAGGAAGGAGTAATTCTGGTAAGCGAAGCAGCAATCAGCTCTAATGGCGGAAACGAATTTCATGACAAGTGGATAATGGATTCAGGTGCAACTTGGCATATGACCCCACACCGAGATTGGTTTCAAACCTACAAGCCTATCTCAGGTGGATCCGTGTTCATGGGAAATGACCATGCATTGGAGATTGCTGGAGTTGGTACTGTCAAATTAAAAATGTATGACGGTACTATTCGCACAATCCAAGAAGTACGACATGTGAAGGACTTGAAGAAAAATATATTGTCTATAGGGCAATTGGATGACCTCGGCTGCAAGATCCATGTTGAAGGAGGAATCTTAAAGGTAGTGAGGGGAAACATAGTTGTCATGAAAGCAGAGAAAATCATGGCAAACTTGTATGTGCTTATGGGAGACACCTTGCAAGAAAATCATGCAACAACTGCGTCGACAAGCCAAGAAGAAGCGGCGATAACGTGGCACCGTAGACTTGGACATATGTCAGAGCGAGGTCTGCAGATTCTTGCGGAACGTGATCTCATACCCGGGCTCAAGAAGGTCGATTTACCCTTCCGTGAGCATTGTGTGACAAGCAAACAACACAGGTTGAAGTTTGCAAGAACCACCACAAGGAGTAAGCAAACTTTGGACTTGATCCATTCCGATGTCCGGGAATCACCGGAATTATCTCTGGAGGAGCAAAATATTTTGTGTCGTTCATCGATGACTACTCGAGGAGATTATGGGTATACCCTATCAAGAAGAAGTCTGAAGTATTTGCGTGGTTCAAAGACTTCAAAGCACAAGTAGAACTTGAGACCGGAAGGAGAATCAAGTGTTTGAGGACAGACAATGGAGGAGAATATGTAGATGGAGATTTTCTAGCATTCCGCAAGCAAGAAGGAATTGTGAGACAATTTTCCGTTCCACACACGCCTCAGCAGAATGGTGTAGCAGAGCGGATGAATAGAACTCTTCTAGAGAGAACCGAGCTATGCTGCAAACTGCAGGCATAACAAAGTCTTTCCGGGCGTAAGCCGTGAATACTGCCTGTTACTTGATAAATTGGTCTCCATCAACAGCAATTGGGTTGAAAACTCCTATGGAAATATGGAGTGGAAAATCAACCGATTATTCTTCCTTACATGTGTTTGGTTATCCCGCGTACGTGATGTACAACACCCAAGAAAGGACGAAGTTGGATCCAAAATCCAGGAAATGCATCTTCTTGGGATATGCTGACAATGTGAAGGGGTATCGCTTGTGGGATCCCACCGCCCACAAAGTTATTGTTAGCAGAGATGTCGTCTTTGCGAGAAAATGAACTGCAAAGCAAGCGGATAAATGACGACTTCGGAAAAGGACAAGACTATAGTACAGATAGAGAAGAAGACTTCGGAACATTCCTCTGAGTCAGAGGAGGAGCATGAAGAACATGAGCCAAATGAGGTGGAAGAAGGAGAACTCCGACGATCAACAAGAGAAAGAGTCAGACCATCTTGGCATTCACAATATGTGATGGCAAGTCATGATGCGTATTGTCTCCTAAGTGAAGAAGGAGAACCTTCAACTTTTCAAGAGGCCGTGAGTGGTTCAGAAGCTCCTCTATGGATGGCTGCTATGGAAGAAGAAATTGAAGCTCTTCATAAAAACAAGACATGGCATCTTGTGGAACTTCCAAAAGGTCGCAGAGCCATTGGTTGCAAATGGGTCTATAAGATCAAGAGAGATGCCAATGATCAAGTAGAAAGATATCGTGCTAGACTCGGTGGTAAAAGGATATGCTCGAAAGAAGGCATTGATTTCAACGAGATATTCTCACCAGTTGTTAGATTGACAACAATCGAATTGTCCTGGCGATGTGTGCTGCATTTGATTTACATCTTGAGCAATTGGATGTAAAAACTGCTTTTCTTCATGGAGAACTTGAAGAGGAAATATATATGCTCCAACCAGAAGGCTTCAAAGAGCAAGAAAACTTGGTTTGCAGGTTGAACAAATCTCTATACGGTCTAAAGCAGGCGCCAAGGTGTTGGTATAAGAGATTTGATTCCTTCATTATTAGCCTCGGATACTACAGACTAAGTTCGGACCATTGTACTTACCACAATAGGTTTGAAGAAAATGATTTCATCATATTGCTGTTGTATGTGGATGACATGTTGGTGGTAGGCCCTAACAAAGCTCGAATCCAAGAATTGAAGGCACAATTGGCTAGGGAGTTTGATATGAAGGACTTGGGACCAGCAAACAAGATTTTAGGGATGCAAATTCACCGAGACAGAAAAGATAGGAAGATTTGGCTTTCTCAAAAGAATTATTTACTTAAGATCTTGCGGCGCTTCAACATGCAAGATTGCAAGCCAATTTCTACCCCACTTCCTGTCAACTGTAAGTTATCCTCAAGTATGAGTCCTAGCAGTGAAGCGGAGAGGATCGAAATGTCTCGAGTACCGTATGCATCAGCAGTGGGAAGTCTTATGTATGCCATGATTTGTACAAGACCGGACATTGCACAAGCAGTGGGAGTGGTTAGTAGATTCATGGGGAATCCTGGTGGAGAACATTGGCAAAATGTGAAGAGGGTCCTTAGGTATATAAAAGGAACCTCAAATGTTGCATTATGTTATGGAGGATCGAAGCAGTTGTCAGAGGTTATGTAGATTCGGATTTTGCAGGTGATCCTGGATAAAAGGAAGTCTACTACTGGTTATGTGTTTACCATCAATGGAGGGGCAGTAAGTTGGTTATCCAAGTTACAAGATGTGGTAGTCGTCTACTACTGCGAAGCTGAATACATGGATGTCACCCAAGCATGTAAAGAAGCTATCCTGGATTAAAAGAATAATGGGGGAACTTGGTCACAAGCAACAACAAATTGTTGTGTACTGTGATAGTCAAAGTGCCTTACACATTGCAAGGAATCCAGCCTTTCATTCGAGGACAAAACACATAGGAATAAGATATCATTTTGTTCGAGAAGTAGTAGAAGAAGGAAGTGTAGACTTACAGAAGATCCACACTGAAAAGAACCTAGCAGATGTAATGACAAAACCGGTTAATGCTGACAAGTTTATATGGAGTCGATCCCTCTATGGCCTATCGGAAGCATAAGCAACATGGATGTGAGAGAAGAAGACATAGTGTGAAGATTTGATTAATTTCATCAAAATCTTCAAGTGGGAGATTGTGAAGGAAGAAGTCCCACATCCGTGGGAACTTCAATTGGGGGCTCTCCTTCTTCTTATAAAAGGAGCCCCTCCCCCCTTATTTCATACATCCCAAATATTTCTCCTTCTTTCTCTTTTACTTTCCTAGTATTGGTAATTTCCAATTGTAAAAGGAAAGAGTGGTCATTATAAAATTTTCATTTTTGCCTATTGTCAGGGTTATTTTTTCTCGTCTCTATTTTAGTTGTGTGTATTTATGCTGGTACTCTGATCCTAACATTTATAGATTCTTTCTATGTTAATTGGTACCAAATTTCACTTTCACAGCTGCGCATGCAAAGGAGGAAGGACACTATTGGGTAGATGGGTCAGCCAGTGACGATAGAAGAAACTAAAGCCACCCCCAAAATGGAACACCAAATAAAGCATAGGACTTTAGTAGCAGAAGCTAGCGTGCATGTTATAAAGCACAGAACATCATTCAATGAGACCAACACTTACCACACTTTCCTTTCATTGTACGTGCAAGATTGTCAATGAGATCACACTTGTCTATAACCATCTCAAAAGCTGCTTAAAAATAACAAAACAAAATTTGTTTCACTTCAAATGTCTCCTAAACAGGAGTTAAAGTTTGACCCTAAGCAGAGGTTGTATTTAAGGCCTCAAGGTAAATAAACAACTGGGTATAACTTAATTTCTATTAATATATATTTTATAAGGTAACTGAAGGGAAGCAATTCAAGCATAAGGTAAATTCAATCAATACATATTAGTTTGGTTTTGCTCCCCAGCAGTTATATTTCATTAATTTGTTGGCTAATAATAGTTGAAGTGATGATGAGTTAATGCATCATCAGCAATGGTTTCCCTTTCTACAGGTTAGTGCACCAGCAGTGATGGTCATGGATCCAACAAGAGAAGAAGGTCTTGCACTAAGACTTGAAGCCCTAGCATAAATGGAAGAAGCACCAGCACCAGATTGTCTGAAGTATGCTCCATTCAAGAACATGTCACCCTCTGATCTCCAATTCCAACTCATCCACTCACTCTGTGGAGCATCCTCGTGCTTTGTTACCTCCTTGCTGAACCTTCTGTCTGGGGCAAGAAACCTGTTTCCTTGGCTGTTGATGGTGGGGTTGGCACTCCCTCCAATGGCATACATTTCCCAGTGTGTGTAGTCGTTGTTCACCACATGAAAATACCCGTGTCTACACCTGCACCAATAGTGAGATTCTTTTTGTTAGTGTGAGCAAAAGTGGTTAACATTTTTATTTTTCTATATACCTTGGCATTCTTTGGACAAGGCCTTCTCCAAAATGATTGAAGGCAATAGTGACCTGCATGTCCTTGTCTTGCGTGTACGAATCACTGTGTCCTAAAAGCATAACCTTGTCATGGTGGGTCATGTAATTGTTAGAGATGGTGATAGCAGTGGATCCATGAATGGCATCAATGAGCCCATCACGACAATTCGACAGCGAGCAGTGATCGATCCAAACATTCTTCGAGTTAAAGATGGACACTCCATCGCCGTCCGACACCGTCCAAAACCCCGAGTGCTCCGGCGAGTCTCTGATGTTAGTGTTCCCGGTTGGCTTGCAATCGTGAATGTGAATCCCATGAACGATCACGTTGCTCACGTAGTGTATGGTGATGCAGCCCCCACCGGCGATGTGCACACTCGCGCCTCTTCCGTCGATTGTCTTCAACGAGTTCACCAGAAGCTCTTGTTTCAGCGTGATTACCATGTCCCTCTTGAAGATTATCCACAGCGGCTCGTCTTGTATGGCGCCATAACGGAGCGTTCCCGGCTTTGGGTTCACCGCGTCGTCGTCGCCGGAATCCGTCACCACGTAGATTCGCCCGTTTCTCCCGCCGATCGCGTTCTTCCCGAACCCAATCGCGCAATCGGCTAGTCTCTGCCGGTTGTTCTCCCAGTTAGGGTCGCATCGCCAGCAGTCGTCGATGGGGTTCCCGGTTCCGCATGATAAATATCCCAAGTTTCTTCTAGATGCATTAATGCTTCTGCAACTCAAAAACAATAACAATGTGAAATTTTTCTTCATGCTTTTGTTCGAAGGTGTGAATTGAGATTAATATGAAGGACTTGTTCATATCACTAATATTCCAACTTTATATTAAGTATAAGAGTCAAAGTTTAATTTTAGAGACGGAAAGAGGGAAATTGAAAAAGATAATCACCATATACAACTTTTTTTTTTTTTTAACAAAATTAGTGATTGAAAAAAATAGTATATATCAACTTACGTCATATATCACTACACAATTATCTTCAATGTTGCAATTAAAACAATCTTCAAAAAACACAACATATAGTTTTCAATATCATTATTATTACTATATTTGTCCTAAAATAATATTTTACTATCCCATAAACAACATTTCCTCTTATCTTTAATGTATGAAAATAAAAATAATTAATTTGTTGATTTTTTTAGTTCTAAAATAATTTTATCAATATACTAAATCTATCCTTATTTTTAATTACTTTCAGAAATATTTTTTTCATTTTTAATTAATGAAAACACACACACACACACACATATATATATATATATATATATATATATATAATATGGATAAATAAGGAAAAAATAATATTTATTATGAATTATAATGTTTTATAAAACGACTATTAATTTTTCTAAGATGTGTTTTGTAGGGTTAATTGTGTATGTTAAAATTTGTAATAAAAAAAAATTGTGTGATGTAGTCAACTTTTTAAACTCTTGGTGCTATTTATTTTAGAGAGGAAGATACTTTTTATATATATATATATATATATATATAAAATATCCAAAATCAAGTTTAACAAAGCAACATTATTTCATTCAAAAGTAGTTTATATATCTAAATGCTGGACATGAACAATTAATGAATAATGGAGATTGAGAAGACAAACACAATATGAAGTACCTTTGAACCTCTTGAACAACCATTTCAGGGTCTGAAACTGCAGAGGAGGAAACGAAAGTGGGTGTGAGAAGAGAAAGAGCAAAAAGAAGAAGGAAGCATGAAAGAGGAGCCATTCTTGGTCTTCTGAGGTGAAAGTGGAAGAGTGGAGAGAGTTTTATAGAAAGAAAAATAATATAATAAAAATATAGACAGATAAAAAGAAAAAGCCGAGAGTAATGGCGTGATTAAATTTTTTGAAGTGGGTCCACGTTATCGTAATTTAGGGTTTAATGCGAAGGTGATTTATGCTTGGTTCTTGTACAAATAGACATCGTTTGAAACCGTTATATTAGTTCAACTGTGGAAGCCACAAAGTCAAATTGGTTGACCTCACTCATTTTTAATTTCTCGTTTCGTTTCTCGACTTTCAATTTTATTTTTATTTTTCAAAACCGTTTTATATTAAATTACTCCTTTCCTTGGAGTAACCCATAATTTAGCGTTATTAATTTATAAATTATTTTTTTGCATATCTTTTATTTTTAATCATTTTAACGTAACTTTTTATTTTTTATATAATATTAAAGATGAAGATTAATTAAGTGAGATCATAATTGAAAATATTTTGATTCACAAAGTAGGAAATAGTCCATAAGAAATAGATGCTAAAATGGGTTATCTTAAGTGAGATAATTTGCTACGTCGCTTAAAAAATATAAGGAGGATTGGTGATTTTAACATGTTTTAGTATGTTTTCTTCTTCCCTTAAATTGTGCCACATGTTTTGATTACGGTGTGATCCATATGTATGCACCATACTTAGCTTCATTATTTATTGTTTAAGAATTCAAATATTTTTAGAGTTTGTATAAGCGCACATTTGATGACTTTGTCTCTGCCCATATTCATCATTTTAATGGGCACGATAACTGTTATTCATTCATCACTTTTTTTTTTTTTCATAATATATATAACACTATTTTTCTTTTTTCTTTTTTCTTTTTTCTATTGAGAGCAAAGAGTTAAAACTTTTTGGTTTAATCCTTGGCAGTAGAAAATCTAAAAACATAGACAGTACATGCGGTACACATAATTAAAAACCATAACTTTATCCTGTTTGTGTGTTGGTTGGGCAACATTGCCTTTATCTTGGGCCAATTGAACAACCAATTCCATTTGATTTTGCCACTTTCTATTATTGGGGCATATTTTCTCAACCCTACTTTATTATGATGCCTGTTGTTGACTTAGTGATGAACTAATTTCCAACACATACATAACCATGTACTCACTTGTTCATTCAATATCACACTCTTTGTTTTATTATTATTATTTTTTTAATTAATTATTAGACTGTTTAAAACTGAGTTAATCCAAAAGAAAAATTATTAAAAAAATCAAAAATTAATCCAAATCGACTTTTTTTTTTAATTTCTAATTAAAAATATTTGGATCATTTGATTTTTGTTTGACAATCACACATCAATTTAATTCAATTAAATTATAGTATTATAATATATATTATAAATATTAATTATTAATTATAGATGATTTTATAATATGTTCTTTATTTAATAATTATTTTATGTAATATATTAATAATTCTATAAAAAAATTATAAAAATTATCTAAACCAAATTTTAAAATATTACCTTAACTTAGTTTGATTTTTTAAAATTAAAATTAAAATTAATTAAATATTTAAATTTTATATTTAGTTTGAATAATATTTTTAATATAAAATTCAACTAAATAAGGTCACAAACACACTGTTAATTGTTATATATTAGCCAAAAACTCTAATTTTCCATTGCATACCATCATGTGGTTAACTTTTTTCCACTGACTGCGGAACACATTTGACTTACCAGTGTTTTACGTCATAATGATCAATGGTCGGAAATAATAATTTGGTTAAAAAACCTGAAATTTGATTACTGGGGTAAGGTGTCTTTTTATCCTTCCAAATATTTTTAAACTGTCCATTTTAATTCATATAAAATTTTAGTTCAATTTTGGTATCTATATTTAATCAAATTACGTACTTTTAGTTGTATTTTAAAATCAAAATATTTTTTTCTATTAAGGACAAAAAATAAATTTTCAATTTAAAAATATTTCTATGTTTGTTATCAATATACAAATTTAAAATTGTTTTATAACTTTTATAATTTAAAAACTGTTTATTTTAATGTCGATAAAGATTTTGCTTTTATAACTATTAAAAATCATATTCATAATAATTTAAACTCTACTTGTACAAGTTTCTTTAAAAAGACTTTGAAAAAAATGTAAAAAACAAAAAAAAATCTATATTTTAAAATTACCGTATGCATAAATTCAAAATAAAAATTTAGATAAACTATATATGAACTTTTACAAATTAATTAAATGGAAGTGATAAAAATGATTAATTTTAATTTTAAGGATAAAAACCATCTACATATAAGAGCGATTAAAAAATATAATTAAATTAATTTTTAATATAGGAATTAAAATAACATTTTAAAATATTTTGAATGGTAAAAAACAAATTTCACCCTTGATTATTAAATAGTTGCATTTAACTGATAAGAAATATTTCAAAGTCAGAAATAGGTTGGCGCACTACAAGAAAATCGTGTATTACCGAGGGATATAAAATATTTGTGGAATTTAATCTTACTCGACGGATATATCCGTCGGTAAATTAACAATCAATAAATATTCAACTAATTAAAAAATTAAATATTTTTTATTTAATAATTTAATTTAATCATAATTAGATTAATTTATAATAATTTCTTAAATTAAATAATTTTAAAAAATAAATATTTAATTATATATAAATATATAAAAATATTTAATTATATATAAATATATATATATATATATATATATATATAAATATAATATATATAAATATATAAATATATAAATATATAAATATATAAAAAAAATAAAAATAAAAATAAAAATATATAAATATATAAAAAATAAAAATATATAAATATATAAATATATAAATATATAAAAAATAAAAATATATAAATATATAAATATATAAATATATAAAAAAATAAAAATAAAAATAAAAATATATAAATATATAAATATAATTTATTTGTAAATTATTATAAAAAAATCTGGTAGCTTAGTGGTTGGAGTATTAGTCTCTAACTCTAAGGTACTAAATTGGAAAAGGGAAGAAGAGTGCCTGAGCATTTACAGAAATAACTTTAGGTCATACAAGTGATAGGTTTAATAAAGGAAACAAAATATACATACCTGTACCATAATAGGATTCTATTTTAACTTAGTAGTTTTTACTTAAGATAGACTTTTTAACACATAATTCAAAATTTTAAGATAATAAATTTGTATACATTTCTTATTTATATATTATTTTTATTTAATATATAATTTTAATGAATATTTAAATTCTAACACTCCTACTATTATATTATATTATATTATAATATAATAGAAAGATTAACTATTAAAAGATTTTCATGTATAAATCATAAATTATTATATATAAAAGAATATCATATTATTTTCAATTTAAAATCTTATTGGTTATTAGATTATAACTAGTAACAACTTTTTGATTTTACTTTTTTTTTATATGTTTTTATATATGAGATTTTATTGTATACAATAATATTAAAATATAATCTTTTTCTGTTACAGTTTTCTTCTTTTTGTTACTTGTAATTTTTTTTTTCACTTCTTTTTCTTGTATGTATTCGTGCATAGTTATACATTAAGGTTTTTACGTGAGTATTACATTTTCTTCTCATGCAAAATGCAATGATAGCAAAGAATATGAAAATCATAATGTATTATGGTATCAAAGTGGGTTGAATCCCACTCTGCTTCTATCATACATCATTAACTCTAAATCTTGTTATAATTATGATTTCTTGGAAGTTCTTTATAATGAGAAATTAAGCAAATACAAGTCTAGATGTCATGAACAATTTCTAGAATATTTAAAGTTCATATTACTCACATTTAGGAGAAAAGCCTCCTACGATGCTTGTCAATCAACAACAACTCAATGGAGGAAACTACCATGCTAGAATAGAGCTATGAAGAGAGTCTTATTGTCAAAAAATAAATGGAAGTTTGTAGATGAAAGTATCACTATGTCTGGTCAAAATGATCCACAATATGAAGCTTGGAATTGAGCTATGAAGGGAGTGTTGCTCAAGAGCGGTAAGTTCTCAACTTGTTCAAAGTGTTATATACATAGATAATACAAGAGATTTTTGGAATAATTTGAATGAGAGATTTTCTAGAGGTGATTATTTCAGAATCTCAAATCTTTTGCAAGAAATTTGTTTAACCAAACAAGGAGAAAGAAATATTTCTAAATATTTTACAAACTTGGAAATTTTATGGGAAGAATTAAAATCTTGCAGGCCTACACCTACTTTTATTTGTCAGATAAAATGCACTTGCAATCTTGTTAAAACATTGGCAAAATATAGAGAATTGGAATACCTCATTTGTTTTCTGAAAGGTCTTGGAGTTATCTATGGTACACTTAAGACCCAGATTCTACTCATGTATGTTAGCAAAAAGGAGTCTAAACAAGTATCAAAAGAGAGAATAATTGTAGAGAGAGAGAGACAGTGAAAATAATCCATGTATTCACAAAGGACAAGTTTATTATACTTATTGACAAGAGAGAGACAGTGAAAGTAATCCATGTATTCACAAAGGACAAGTTTATTACACTTATTGATAACTATTGTAGAAACACAATATTTATAATTAAAACTGAAAGTTAGTTAGGTCAATCAACCTAATAGAAACAATTATTACACATAATTGTTAAATTATTATCTAACACAACCCTCTAACTCAACAATCGATTTCACGTTTAAGCATTTTCTCAATTCTTCAAAATCTTTGATTGTTCAAAGGCTTCAATAGAATCATGTTTCAACTTCTTACTTCATCATTTATCTTTCTTTTTAACTGCTCGATCAATGTAATTTTGATTTACCGGTCTTCAATTCTTTGGGAGGTCAATTAATTCCATGTATTATTCTTCTTGATTTCCAATAACTCTTCTTTCATGGTTTCGATCAACTTGGATCATCGATTGCATCTTCAAAGCAAACTGATTTATGCTCGATCTTAG